CTTCTGTGAGCTGCTCTAACAAACTAATCAAATCCAGGGAGAGGTTGTTAAGAATTCCAATTTGCAACCATGTTACTGGTCAGAAGTACAGTTCATAACATACTATGTACCTGAACCCTCCTCATCCAATGAGATCTGACACTGACTCCTGGCAGATACTGTCAGAACTGAATAAAGAGGATAGTCAATGGGTCCATTGTTTAGTGTGTGGGAAAAACCCCACATATATCTGATTAAGGAAAGCATTATGCACATTAAGTATAAGAAGAGGGAGATAAAGCTACACCATTGGAAGAATATAAAAGCAACATATTTAGTTAAATATGCATATATCTAAGTATCCTGTTGGTACACCAAAAATGGTTGGATGAATAATAAAGACATTACTAACAAACATGACAAAATTTCTTGTCTTTATTTCAACAGACTCACTATATTACAATCAAGACTTCTGCATAATAGTTGTCCTATTAACAGTAATGAGCTAAAGAATTAAAACATTAAATGCAACTATATTCACAGTTAATACAAAGTTAATATTTAAAATAATTTTCATGTTATTTGCTATTTAAATAATCCTCTAAAATATAAGATGTGAAGTTTTAAGAATGAGAAGTTTATAGAAAGCTAACATTTTACTATACATGTTTGTAAAAATGAATTTTGTTGCAACTTAAGCATCAAATGCCTATCTAGCTACCACTATAATTGAACACGTCGTGCTTGTTATGTCTACATGTATCTAGATTTAAGAGCAATATGAATTATTTAATACAGGAAAGTGTTCCTTAGCTACCTACCATGTGCAACTGTAGTCCTACCAAGAAATGATACATCATTAAACAATGAAGTATTGTTACCTACATATTAGTTGAAAGTACGAACTTAAGATAATCTGACTTTCCTCTTCTCTAGTAACTTCTGCTCAAAATCTCCTTGTGCTCTAAATAAGGGTTCCTTTCTTATGTCCATCGCAACACAATCCATTAATTTACTGCACTGGTCATCATCATTTTTCATTTCAATGACAAGCCAAGAAGTATGGAGGCACATTTATCTGGTTGAATACTGTCAGCTACAGCAACAGATAAAAGTTTAGATTACTTAATAAGATAGGTTCATTTCAATTTACAGGCTACTGGGGACATAATCACATAAGTTAAGAAGGCATCTGAATTAACTCTTAGGAGATATATAAGCCTAACAACCACGGCATACATTATTTTGAATGCCCAGATAAGAAAAAAAAAAAAAAAAAAAAAAAAAAGCACAAACCTAAAGAGAAATTTTTTAAAATTTATCAACTCTAATAGCATTTTTATTTTAAATTAAAATATTAAGGGACTAGTTGTAAGACATAGATAATATGAAAGAAAAACATCAATTCTACAGGTGTTTCTAATATTTATTTTATTTTTATTTTAGGTATATGCATGTATTGCCTGCATGTAGTGCACCCGTTGTCGTGCAATGCCCACAGAGGACAGAAGAGGCTGTCAGAGCCCCTAGAAATGGAGTTACAGACAGTTGTTAGCTGCCATGTGGTGCTGGAATTTGAACCTGGGTCTTCTGCAGAACAGTCAGTGTTCTTAACTGCTGAGCCATCTCTCTAGCCCCATGGTGTTTCTAATATTTCTAATACTGGGGTTAAATAAAACTAAAATGTAGATAAACTGGAGCACCTGTATCCACTGTTTAAAAATACAATATTCAAATACCAACTACCATTACCTGAAATGCTTGGTACCAGAAGTGTTTCAAATTACAAAGCATTTCAGATTTTCTTATTAGGGATGGTAAACCTACACCATATCAATTTTATAGTACTCTCAGAGAACATATTTGCTTTAACTCCACCAGCATAATACACATTCATTCTTATGCTGCAAATATGCAGGTATGGTTAACAGTACAGTGAACCTATCCTTCTTGTCATAGTAATCTCAAAATGGCTTACGTGCAAGGAGGCAAGAGGACAGAATACATCTCAAGTAAATTACTTACATTTGTCTGTATATTCCTACTTTATTCACTCATATGAGATAGTCAAGAAATTCAGAACTTCATTATCAACTATTTAGTAGTTTATTTATATAAAATCTTCAGTTATATGATGTGTTCAGTAATTTATCCTAAAACTGGTACTTTTGTGATTCAGATTAGAAATTTCCAAATAACACCCCCATGTAGAGCACACAGTCCACCGCACACAGAAGACCCTCTAATATTTTTGATGTATGACTAAATTAATACCAAGTAGTTGCTTCAGACTACAAATGCTTGAAAGAAAACTAGATGAAAAAGGAAAATAACAACAAAAACTTACAATAGCAGTCTTAAAAATACCTTTAAGTGAAACACTTGTAAAGTTCTTAGAGCCTGATCCATTAGGAACTCTTTCCAGGTATCTGCCATTACTGTTAACCTGCAAACTTAGTTTGTTCTACAGTAATCCTTATAGATGCATCTACAAAGTAGTGTGAGTTGCTACAGCCACTGACAAAAAAAACCCCAAAACCTCAGATATGCACTACTAGTGAGGATACAGCTACATCTTCATATATGAAAGGAAGTCTGCCTACAAGTTTAACAACCATTATTTTATATAAGTTATAAGATTAACTTCATAAGACTTTAATATACAATGAAGGCTGGGGATATAACTGTTTGGCAAAATGTTCGCCTAGCATGCATAACACCCTGAGTTTGATTCCCAGCAGTACAATAAATTAGGAATGATAGAACATGCCAGTAACCTCAGCACTAAGGAGGCAGAGGCAGGAGAATCAGTCATTCTCAGTTAAAGACCAGATGAAGGCCAGTTGAAGACAAGACTAGGATACATGAGACCCTATCTCAAAAGAAACAAAAAACAAAATCCACAAATAAAGCCTTATAGTTTATCCTACTACAAAAAATTCATCGTTTATAGCACAAAGTCCCTCCTACATATTATAAATTTATTACTTCACAGAGAACTATTGGTATATTTCATGGTTAGTTTATGTCTAAAAAAAAACGCTAAAAAGAAAACATCAATCCCAATGGGTAATTGAACTGCAAAACCTTTTAAATCCCATATTAAAGCAGACTGCAACATAGGAGACTGCTAAAAATGTTTGGATTTACTCTCTTACACTTTGCTGACCAGAACAGAGATGAAGACTGAGGTAGTCTGAAAATTCTGTGAGGCTTAAACCAGACTATATTCTTCATATTCTCTAAAGAAGTTAGCTTTAGTTGTACGAGGTACCCTCAATTTCCAGAGGCCAAGAACAACAACTGCTGCAATGAAAGAGCAGAGTAGTTAGGGTTAAGAGGGCAGCTGCTTTCTTCAAGGAAACTAGCAAGCACATCTACGTGTTCACAATTCTACTTCTTCGATCACCTTACAGGTGTGGAGTTTTAGTAGACATACAGATGTTTAAAATAAGCCATTTTAAACACATTAGGGATACTCTATTTCAAGGAAATTTAGTTATGAATTCTCTTACAAAGCTTATCCAGATGATTTATTTTACAAAATTAAAATACAAAATGTGTTTATGAAGTATATGTAACAGGGGAAAACTCTACCATGTAATTTGTGTTACAAATAAGTTGTAAGATAAATCATAAATGCTAATAATTACCAAATGGCATAAACATAACTGCATTAAAAAGTGTGACTAAAGATAACAAAAGCAAAATCAAAACCTTTAAACATACTACAAGTACAAGGGAAATGACTCAAAAAAACTGGGTAAATTAGTTAACTGAAATCATTCTGAACTATAATTATGTTGTGCTTTAACTTTTTGTTAGAAACAATCAGTAACTAGAAAGTGATTTTTTTTTTTAAATATAAGGAACAGGTATTTTTCCAGTAACAAATAAAATTATTATTCAAAAAAAAGAACCCAAAAGGCAAAACAAACAAAATCCAAAACACCCACAATAAAAAAAATAACATTTTCAGAACGATATTCATCTGTGAAAGCAAATAAATGAGATTCCTATACAATAGAAGAGTGACAGAATCTTCACCTTTATTTCAATTGTTGGATGAAAAATCCCAACTGAGATTGCATCTGTCCCCTTACACTCAGCTCTCTACCCTCTTTACATGGGTTCAGTCCTTTTCTCAAGGAAATATCTAATTCAACAGATTCTAATATTATAAAACTAAGCCAATCATATGCATCTTTCAAGCAATGAAAACATTCCCTTTAGAAACCTCTATATGTAAACAACAATAAAAATACTTGTGACGGTACTTGTAAAGGACTTAAAATGCCATCAGAATTCAAGGACTCAGTGGCTCATACCTATTTACCCCAGAAAGCTGAGGAAGAGAGTACTCTGGCGAGTTTGAGGCCATCCTGGGCTACATAGTGAAACTCCACCTCAAAAAAAAAATTTTTTTTTTTTGTTTATAACTTAGTAAGGTTGACAAAAATTGTGCGATACTAAATGGGGTACGGATAGACAAAAATGGACATGGACTCCTCGTCTAAACAGGTGTTATTTTCTTCCCTTTGATTAGTGTTTATAGTGAGTTGTCACTAATATAAGATATATAATTATAGATATTAATTTTTAAACAAAGCAAGTAGTCATCAATTAAAAATTATACTGGGCCGGGAACGGTGGCATGCATGTCTTTAATTGCAGCACTCAGGAGGCAAAAGCAGGCAGATCTCTGTGAGATCAAAGACAGTCTGGTCTACATACCAAGTTGTAGGCCAGCTAGGACTCCAGGGAAACCTTATCTTTAAAAAAATAACAACAACAAACCTTTCTACTGGTTAAATGTTAGGTTTATATGGTAAAATAAAACAGCATAACTTATTTTGTTTGAATAAACAGGGTATGTTTTATATAGCACAACTGAGTCATACAGCAGATTCTAAGAAATGAGCCAGACAAAATTTTGACAGTACAAAGCAATGTGACAGTTAACATCACCAAACAAAAGAATTATCAATTGCATTTTACACATTACTAGCTATGTGTGTTACCTCAACAATATCTGAGTTGGTTCTGCTTTCATGAGGCTCGTTGTATTCTGTATACTTGAGAAGAACTTTGTCCATGTCAGTGCTGGCATACTGAAACAGCTTGTTAGAGCTGTTAAAGATGATGAGTGCTATTTCACAGTCACAGAGCACACTAAGTTCATAAGCTTTCTTCATCAATCCAAACTTTCTCTTTGTAAAAGTGACCTAGACAAAGAAAAGAGTATCTTTTTATTAAAAGCTTAGTTGTATTTGAAACAAAGGCTACTTGGAGATTAGTCTTTTATACTGAGCCAGATTTCAAATATGGAAAAGGTTCCTAGTCTCATGCTCCACATAAGCCTTTCCCTTCCATTTTGGCATAGGACTGCTGTCCTGTATTTATCTTGTATGCCTAAGGGCTCTGGAAGAGAGTATTCTCTTTCTCTTGGTTGTGACTATACCACAGAAAGCAAAGAAGCAAAGATCAGTTGACCAGTGGCCTCTTACTGTTCAGTTTAAACAGCTACCATAAGAAACTCTAAAACCCACTCCAAAATCACCCAAACTTTACTCCCTGAATGACTAAATAAGAGTCTTTAATACAACTTAAGGTTTTTCTTCCTGGCCAAGTCTTTTTACTCTCTCTACTGAAATTCAGAATCAGCAAAATTCTGATGCCCTAAATCTTTCTTTTAATATTTTTCTAATTAAAACTTGCTAACTCAGCCAGGTGTGGTAGCACACACCTTTAATCCCAGCACTCAGAAGGTAGAGGCAGGTAGTTCTCTTTACATGAGGCCACCCTGGTCTACACAGCAAGTTCTACCTAATGCTACATAGTGAGACTGTCTCAATTACCTGCTGAGACCAAAATGATTTTTGTGATTTTAAAATATTTTAAAACATCCCTTATATTCAAGACCCCTTGAAGAGAAATTCTATTTGTTCGCTATTTTCTCTTCCAACTATTTTTCACTCCTTCCCCTTTAAAACTTCAGATATTTTAAAGCATATGGCATGAACTCATACCATCTAATAACCTTCCTGGTAGTGAGCACAAAGTGACACACAACCCTGTCACCCTTCTGCAAGCAGTATCACCTAACTACTTTTCCTTCCATCTCTGCTCCTCTATGTGACTTCAGCACCCATGTACAACATTCTGGCAGACACCTTGGGATCAGCTCCTTTATCTCCCAACCTCCAACACACACTCATCACTTCCAGCATCACACCTCAACTTTTATATCATCAATAATCACAGTCACCATCAAAATCTCAATTTCACAAAGTTCTTTTTGATGGCGGCTTCTCCAGTTCTTCTATTTTTGCTTTCTTTCCAGACACCATTTACTTGAGTGCTCCAATTTCTTTACCATACCAATTTATTGATACAGTCAAGGAACCCTCATCCAAAATGCTTGGGACCAAATAGTGTTTTACATTTGAGTTTTTGTGATTTCTGGAATATTTGCATGAATTATCATGAAGATAAGATCTAGGCCTAGACATAGAATTAATTTGTTTTTATATACATCGTATAGCCTGAAGGTTTACACACAACAGTTTTAGTATACATACATTTTTTTACTACAACCAATCACATGAGTTAAGGTGTGGAATTTTCTGTGGCATCATGTCAGAACTCAGAAAGTTTCAGAATTTGGGGTTATTTGGGATTTTCAAATTTTTCCAAATTAGGGGTGCTCAACTACATCTATTTTTACATCCTTTTTTCTCTCTTTAGATTTGATGGCCCATCACTATTTTCACCACCTTCCCAGCATACATATATCCTTTATCCTTCTCTTATTAACATACTTGCCTGACACAGTCTTAACCAAAGACTGACTCTAAACACACCCCAATTAACGAAAATAAGCATACACGCCTATTTACCGTCTCTCGACTAAGACCATACATCTCTATATGCAACAATGCCAAACATTTCATCCATCACATTAATGTGATATTTATTTACATTAATTGATTCTGAGTCAACTACTTCCCATCTTCTCTCCTACAACTTAATTCTCCTCTGAAAACATTACATTTAGAAATAGAACTACCTCATCTTTCTATCCCCAAATCCATCACTTAGCTGCTTCACCCATCTTTCTTAACTCTCCCTTCTCTGCTGTTACTGATGCCTTTCTCTTCCTTGAAGGTTTATTACACTGTGCTAAATAAATCAAGTATCCTAAGAGCATGTAAACGTGCTCTTGAATCTCTTCCAACTCCATGTTGCCACTCTAGTCCAACCCTTTCCTGTTTAGAACAAACATGTTTGAAAGAAATGTCTAGAGTTGCCTGCAATCTCACACTACCTAGCTTTTCCTTAACCTATATAATTAGACTTCCAGTTCCCAGATTCCATCAAGACTATACTCTTGCTAGCATTATCATAAGTGACCTTAAATTTGACCAAAGTCAATGATCACTTTGATTCTTATCTTACTTTCCACCTTAGTAATATTTGACAAAGTTCAGCTTATTCTCTGAACATTTTCTACCACAGCTGTTCACGAACTTAACTCACTGCTTCTCAGCCTACCTGCTACCTTCTCTTCCTCTGTTCTCTTACTACTACAGGACAAATCTCACATATATGTCTGTAGGCTTTTAACTTGGGCTCCCTTCTTTTAACCTCACAATTTCTGCCTAGTGGTTATATTATGATTTTAGGAGTGAAAAACATTATCTTTCCACAGTCTTCTCCATTTCAGTAAATGTATTAGAGTGTCCATTCAAATAACAAAAACAAAAATAACTTTGAATATTTTTTACCCCTATCTTAAGAATCAATTCTATCAGTAAATTGTGTCAACTCTACTTCTAAAATGCACCTTAAATCTCACTTCTTTCTATACTACCATTCAGGTTAAATTTCATCATCTCTCATCTACATTGTTCATATAATCATCTTATTGGATTTCCTGCCTCATTTAAAACACCCTACTAACTGCCAAGTAACTGCCAGACTGAAAGGATTAAACTGTTTAGGTGAGAGCTTAGTATTTAGCTTAATGTTTCTCACTGAAGTGAAAAATAGCACACTCACTGACCACGCAATAGAAATAATTTGTTCTTCATCTCCTTACTTTTTTTCCCCATTCATCTCCCTTGCAGCCATTAAGTAACATTGGCATGAGTATGTGCAAACGTGTGTATTTTTATATTCCTTAGACAATGGCTACTTTCCAACTTAGGAACTTCACTATGTCCCTGACTAAGAGACACACATACCTTTCTATAACTGCTGCTTCCTTTACCTTTAAAAACATTTCCTATTATTTAAACTTTTAAAAAATCTATTGCTAGGCATGGTGGCACACACCTTTAATCCCAGCACTCAGGAGGCAGAGGCAGAGGCAGGCAGATCTCTGTGAGATGAAGGCCAGCCTGGTCTACAGAGTGAGTTCTAGGTGGGCTAGGGCTGAGGATGCCCTGTCAAAAAAAAAAAAGTCTCTATTATATAAATACGGATATATTAATTTTTTTATAAATGCATGCATGGATTATAATAGCTTTTGTGTCTCCTAATTTCTCTTGCACTTACCTATACAAAACCTGAGTCAACTATTTGGTTGTTTTCTCCCATATTTTTGTATGGGATCATATAATCATGTGCATATATTTGTATGTAAAGGGATTTTCATGACTTTTTTTATAAAACTATCAACCAATAAGGGAGAGGGGCACTCTCAATACTCTTTTTGTCTTACTCATTGAACTGCACCTAATGGATATGTCTCCAAGTCAAATGCTGTAGTTCTAAGGTGTTCTCAAACAATTCTGTAATGCTTCGTACAACTGTATTGTAAGACCTGGGTTCAGATTCCCCAGCACCCATGTGAAAAGTCAGGTGTGATAGTGCCTATAACCCCAGTGCAGGGAGAGCAGAGACCAGCAGATCCCCAGAACTTGCTGGCCATCCAGTCTAGCCAATAGATGAGCACAGGGTTCAGTTAGAGGAAACCCTGTCTCAAAAACCAAAAGGGCTAGAAAGGTGACTCGGTAGTCAAGAGTTCTTGCTTCTGTTGTAGAGAACCTGAGTTTCTAGGTAGAATGATAGGTAAAATAAAAATCTCTTTAGTATATATTAAGTACACTAATTTGTAATAATTTGGCAGTCTTTTTCATCTGTTTTCATTCGAAATTTCCTTTCTTTATAAAAACTGCCTTTTCCCCCTCTTATAGGAGAAAGCACGAACACTGTCCCCCACTACCATATATTATGCAGCTAGATTTCCCATATTTGGGGAAAATTGCAGGGGTCAGTATACCTTAAGTGCAATGAATGAGATTCACCTTGGAAAAACCCCCTTCTTGACCATGGTATCTGCCCTGCCAGGTAAAAGCATGAAGCTGCCTATCTTTTATCATTTTTTTATTATATATCTATTACTTGTCTAAGAGATTCTTACATGAATAAACTTACTGTGTTTTACAAATGCCTTTGAAAAACTTTCCCATTTATATTAACTTTATATATTACTTGTCATTACTTGTCACTATGTAGGTATGGTTAGCCTGGAACTCACAGAGATCTACCTGCCTCTTCTAAGTGCTGAGATCAAAGGTTTTATATCATGACACCAAACCAATTTTCAGTTTTCATTATAGACTGCATCCTGATTTTTAGGATTCTGACACTGTCTTATACAATTATTAGTTTATACTATTATTACTAAAATGCACTATCTCAAAAATATTTTAAAATATGTATCATCTTGAAATAGTATAATTTGCGTTATTTATGACTTGATGTACCTTGATGCCATGGAATTTTGAACTCCACACAGATAATTTCAAAATCGGTGAGATATTAATAAGATAGTAAACTGGGACAGTAATGTGTCTTCCAATTAGGCACTGAGTATGATTAAAGAATATTCTTTCTTTAAATGCTCTTAGTAATGAGAATAGTCTGATGCTCTTCTTGTGTATGTGTGGGTGAATATGCATGTTTATGTGAGTACACATGCATACATGTATACACATGTGGAAACAAGGGCTGATGCCAAGTCTCCTCTACTCTTCCACCTTTTTTTTTTTTTTAAGATTTAGTCTTTTAAAGACTTATTTTAATAATGTGTACGTTTGTGTGTTGAGGGGAGGATATTTGCACATGAATGCAGTGCCTATGAAAACAAGAAGAGGGTGTCAGATCCTCCTGGAGCCAGACTGACTGGTTGTGAGCTTCCCAACATGGGTGCTGGGAACTGAATTCTGTACTCTTCATCACTGAACCATCTCCCCAGCACCATTTTTAAATTTTATTTGTGCGTGTGTGGGGGGGTGTGGATGAGTGGATGATACGTGTGTGTGGATGCCCATGAAGGCCAGGAGAGGGTGTCAGACCCCTGGACCTGGAGTTACAGGCAGTTGTGAGCTGCCCTATATGGGTGCTAGAAACTCATGTTCTCTACAACAGAAGCAAGAACTCTTGACTACCGAGTCACCTTTCTAGCCCTTTCGGTTTTTGAGACAGGGTTTCCTCTAACTGAACCCTGTGCTCATCTATTGGCTAGACTGGATGGCCAGCAAGTTCTGGGGATCTGCTGGTCTCCGCTCTCCCTGCACTGGGGTTATAGGCATTATCACACCTGACTTTTCACATAGGTGCTGGGGAATCTGAACCCAGGTCTTAATGCTTGAGTAGAAAGCATTTTACTCAATGAGCTCTCAATCTCCCCAGTCTCTATGTTCTTTCCAAAAATACATATTCAGAAGTATCTCTTTAAAGTCACCAATCAGAAAGAAGTTGAAGGAAGGAGTTGGTGTATGAAGGAACTTAGCCTATAACAATCTCCTCTCTATTCTTCCAACTACAATACAAAAAGAGCCTTTTTAGCAATCTATGTTTTTTTTAATGTTCAATGGTGGCACCAAAATTAGTAAATTAAAAATTATAAATTTAATGTAATGCTCTTATAAGCTTTCTAAATGAAAAGCTTCATTTTACTTTTAGGACTTAGCTTATTTTTGAAATTAGAGGGTTTTTTTAATTTTTAAGAGTAAGGTACAAAAATTTTCCCATAAATCTCTGTCTCTACATGTGCACAGCCTCCTCCATTATCAACATTCCTTAGCAGAGTGGTACGTGACATATCATTATCACTCAAAGTCCAGGGTTTATACTAGGTTCACTTCCTGTACATGACATGTATGATACATTCACAGTATCCCACTGAGTATTTTCTCTGCCCTAAAACTACTCAGTCAGAGTCTATTGTCTAGATACAGCACAGTTTATTTCTCCACTCATGATCTGAAGGATACTTTCAAATCTTCCAGTTTTTGGCAATTATAAATGAAGCTGCTATAAACATATATGTGTAGGTTTTGAGTGGACATAAGTTTTCAACTCTTCTGGCTAAATAGCAAGGAATGCAGTTGGTGGATTGTATGTTAAGAGTAGACTTAGTCTTGTAAGAAAGTGTCAGAAGCACTATGAACTATCATTCCAGAATTGCTGGAGGCTAAAAGTTGAACAAAGTACTTTAAAACTTATGATGACCTTTGTAGTACTAGTTTAAGGATATACTAAAAGACATAAGGAATAGAAGTAAGAGCTCAGAAACTGACCCACACAAATACAGTGAACCAGTCTTTGACAAAGAAGTTAAAAGTACTGGAACAACATTATGAAAAAGAAAATTAACTCCGTTATAGGCCTTAAGCCCCTTAAAAATTAACTCAAAATATATGAAAGACATATAAAAAATTATAAGACTCATAGATAACTTTGGTTTGGGAACAACCCTTTTCATTTTTTCTTTTTTGTTTTTAAAGATACGGAGCCTCACTATGTAGCCCAGGCTAGCCTTGACTTTGCCATGTAGGACTTACATATATTCAGGCAAAACATTCATACATGTAAAAAATAAATTTTTAGAAAATAGGTAAAATATGTAAATAGGCAACTTACTAAAGAAGATGTCAAATAGAAAATTAGCATATTAAGTTTTTTGCAACCTCTGTCACTAAAGAATTGCAAACTAAAACAACACTAAGATAGCACTACGTAGTATGAGTTGAGAAATTCTGAAAACCCAGAACATCGACAGCACCATTATACTATATGGATCCAGGACACTCATTCACTGCTATTGGGAATGCAAAATGTTAGATCACTTTGGAAGACCGTTTGGTAGTTTCATAAAGAAATAAATTCATTAACCATACCACACAGCAACTGCACTTCTTGATATTTATTGAGAAGAGTTTGTTCACTCAAGATATGCACATGGGATGTCTCTATCAACTTTTATTTCATAATTGCTGAAAGTTAGAATTAAGTAAGATGTGCTTTAATAGGTGAATAGATAAACACTGCTACATCTAGATAGTGGAATATTACTCAGCACTAAAAAAACATGGAGAAACCTTAAACGCAGAACACTACATGAAAGAAGCCTATCTGAAATGGCTATATAAGCATTCTTACTATGAAGATAGTAAGAATATCAGTGGTAGTGAAGAGTTAGAGGAGGTAAAGGAGAAACAAATAGGCAAAGCATAGAGGATCTATGCAGTTTAATTATTCTTCATAATACTATCATTACAGCTTTTTCAAAATCCCACATATTAACACAACACCAAAAGTGAACCTTAATGTAAAGCATGGACTTTGGGTAACAATAATGCATAAGTGGAGGGTCCTTGACTGTATCTACTATACTCCTGTGAAGCAGAATGCAGGCAGCTGGAGAGACTTAGCAGAGGGACAGGAGTACATGCAGGCGAATATAAGAGTTGATAGGTGTTTTTTTTCTGCTCTATGACCCTAAAGAAAGCTCTTTAAAAAATGAAGTCTATTTAGAAATGGTTTCTAAAAAAAGTCTTCACGGTGTTTTTAAAATATTGGGGTGGGGGCTGTAGAGATGAATCAGTGGTTAAGAGCACTGACTGGCTGCTCTTAAAGAGGACCTGGTTTTGGTTCCCAGGACCCATCTGGCAGCTAACAAATGTCTCAAACTCCAGGGAATTCAAAGCCTTCTTCTGGCCTCTGTGGGCACTGCACGCATATCGTGTACTTTTATACATGCAGACAAAACACACAATACACATAAAATAAAAATAAACAAAAATTAAGAGTTTTGCCAGGTATGGGGGTGCATGCCTTCAACTTCAATCCCAGCACTCGGGAGGCAGAAGCAGGCAGATATCTGTAAGTTCGAGGCCAGCCTGGTCTACAGAGTGAGTTCTAGGCCAGCTGAGGCTACAAGGAAACCCTGTCTCAAAAAAAGACGGCAAAAAAAATTAAATTGTTTCTGGAATTTGTATACTTTTTCTTCCTAGGAACTTTACCTAATGGTTTAGAGTTAGAGTCAATCACTGCATTAGTTACCTACAAAACAGGATCTCTACTATGATGGAAATCAACTGTGTACACTTCAATTTATTTCTCATAGGCATAAGATTAATGTAATATCCTTTTACAAGTAATAATACTTTCATGCTAAACAGAAGCAATAAAGAAAATGCCTTTCACACATAATTCAAAGACATTTCTATTTATTTTCAACTTGTTTCATTTTGTATGTACAGTGACAAAATTTTTAAGAAGTATGTACCAGTTCAATAATTTTCACTAAGGCAATTATTGCTGTTTTTCTTGCATTTTAGTATTTATATGTCTAGGAATAAATCATTTTCTACTAATTCACACAGATCTTAACATTCTTAAAGCCTTCTATGTCCGTTATATTTCTCAAGTACAGAAAGTATAATATACTCTATGTATGATCATTCAAATTCTCTGCTAGTCAATAATCTGAAAATGGAGATGAGATTCCTTCCTATCTTTCCTTCTTTTTTTTTTTTTTTTTTTTAAGGCAGGGACTCATTTCATATCCCAGGCTCTCCTGGAACTTGCTATGTAGCTCAAGCTGGCCTTGAACACCCAACCCTCCTGCCTCAGTTTCTCAAGTTCTGGAATTAACACAGCATATGCCACCACACATGTGTTGAGACAAAGTTTCCTTATTTAATTTTTCAATTAACTAGAAAGTTAACTAAAAGTATCTTTCAGTATTTGTCTTATTTATACTTTAAAATTTATAATATGAAATACAAGTTTGAAAAAAAAAAAAAAGATCTCAACATCTCAGACCCACAAGATGGTTCAGCAGGTTTACCTGCTGATGGTTCAGCAGGTTTACTGCAAAAACCAAATAACCTGACTTTATTCCCAAGATCCCATGGTGGAAGGAGAGGACTCCTGAAAGCTGTCCTCTGACTTCCACATGTGTACTGTGACCTACACATATTCTCATATTAATTTTCTCTCTTCCTCCCTTCCCTCCCCTCCCACATACACACGTGCACATGCACACACACACAAAACAATTTTATA